CGCTCTATCCACTGAGCCAAACCGGTCAGGGCAACTGAGTTATTTTTTTAAAGGTAGGTATGTAGATAAATGTTTAATGTTAATCTCTGGATTCTAATGAAGATAAAATAAAAACAACTGATTCTGGTCACATTCACCCCCTCACTGAGATTTACTTCCATAGAAAGTGTTGTTGTTTTTTAATTCATTTTTATTGTTGACACTATTATAGATGTCCCTGCCCCCACGGCACTGTTCTTTTTGAGCGATGGTATGTGCTGTGCAATGAATGACGTCTAGTTCGAGGACACGTGGCATCAGGTGGGATGTCCGGCGGGAACATTCCGCTGGGCTGATGCTGTAGTTGTGGGTTATTGTCTTTGCCTCTCACCTCTGGCTGCCGCCTCTTTGGTGGAGGTGAGAGCCTGTCCATCCCTCGCCTCCTGGGGCCCCAGCAGACGTCACCGTGCGTCTTCCCAAGGTGAAGGCTCTGCTTGGTGCGACCCGCCTTTCCGGGCCTGGTTCCCTGGGCCGTCGTTGGGAGAGGAGGTCGGCAGAGCTGGGCCAGGGCAAAGGGAGCTGAGGGGGTGAGGCTGGGGCGGGGCGTGTACATGTTCAGGGGGCTCATTCCCTTCCATGCAAAGTCAGGACCAGGGGTCTAAGCAGGGAGTCTGAATCCTGCTCCCCAAACACACACCTGAGGTCTCGCTCAGCTGGGCGCCTCCCCCAGCCCCTCCCAGCCCCAGCCCAGGGCTCATCTCTTTAATCTCAGGGGGGATGGGGGGCTCTGTGAGGAACCGGGCACGAGGGCTCCCTAGGATGAAGGTGGCCCCTGAGGTGACACCTCCAGAGGGTTCCAGTCTGGAGCCCCTCTCCCCTCCCAGAACCCACTCTCTTCGCCCTTCGCCAGGAGAGAAAACCAGCTCTCATCCCAAAGGCTCCTTCCCCCGGGGACCCTGGAGGCCCGCTCCTCCTGTGGGGGTGCCCTTCCCTGAGCCCCCTCCCACCCCGGAGACCCCCGAGGGGCCTGGGAAGGGGCAGATCAGGGAAACACTGAGCTCATCGGCGATGTGAAAGCCCCGGCCCCTCAGACCTGCCGGGAGCAGGCTCAGCCCAGGGAGGACTCCCCAGCAGAGACCCGGCCGGAAGGGGCCCTTTCCACAGGACACAGCTCACAGGCGCCACCTGGGGCCGCTCCTGTCCTCTCTCTCACACACTGCACCTCTCAATCCTGTCCTTCCCCAGGGAAAGATGAAAGCTCTGAGCCCCAGCTCCTCAGACCTGATTGAAGCAGGAGAACGGAGCCCCCGTAGAACCAGGGGTACTTCTGGGTGTGAGAGCAGGGAGGTTGGGGCCCTGGATGAGCTGGGAACTGGGGGCAAAGCAGGTGGGACCCAGGAGGGAATGGGCCTGAGAGGAGCAGGGGGAGAAGTGGGCCCGAGTCTCACTCGAGAGCCCCAGGACCCAGGCGGACGGAATACATGGGGGGGACCCAGGTGGACAGAATTAATGGGGTGCGGCGGAGGAGGGGGACGCTGGAATGAGACAAAGGGGAGAGAAAATGAAATCTACGGGCGGAGTCTCCAGCTCACCCTGAGCCCAGGAAGGGCTCAGCCCTCAGTCACCTCCAGAGGAGACTGGCTCCTGGGCAGGCGAAAGCGCAGGGCCTGCTGGGGCGGAGGCGGCCTGGGCAAAGGCTCGAGGCAGCGACGACTGGGATTGTTTGGTGGAAGAGTCGAAGCTGGGACCAGCGGAGGTGAGGTGGCTAGGAGCTGGGCGGGGCCCAGACCACAACCTGGGAGGCCAGAGGACTTGGAGTCTGTCCCGAGAGCAATCAGCTGGGAGCTGGAAGGGGAGATGAGCATGTTGGCAGTTAGATGCATCTCCTGCAGGAAGAGCTATTTGAGGACCGGGAGTGGCTGCAGGGATCCGGCGGCGGCTGCAGCGGCGGCCACTCCCAGGGCTTGACCTCCCAGGGCTGGACCGTGGGTGCGGCTGGGGGGACGGAGAAGGAATGCAGGCGGAGGGAACACAGCTGAAAGGCTCAGTGCACTTACAGCCTCTTGGATGGGAGCAGCTGGAAGAGTTGGGGGGGGGGCGGGGGGGGGGGAAGGGGCGGGGGG